AAAAAAAAAAAAAAAAAAAAAAAAAAAGGAAATACAATCAGCCTTTCGAGAGGGCTGTACTCCACAATATAGTTTTCACTCACTAATTTGCATGCTTATGCTCCTTCAACTCTTCCCTATTTATAAGCTACTTGTAACTGATTTTCCCTCCCCATTCAACCCCTCTAACAGAGTTTGTTGCAGCCCCGTCTTCACTCATGTTCTTGATCCTTCTAGAATATGTTTATTTAATTGGGGCCTATTAAGTTTCTGTGATTTAATTCTCAATTTATGTGAAATTTTTTATGTTTAACTGTCATTACGTGTTTTATCCAGTGGGGATTTCGCAGATGTGAAGATATATGTTGGGTGAAGACAAATAAAACAAATGCAACTCCTGGATTGCGTCACGATTCTCATACTCTATTTCAGCGCTCAAAGGTTATAAATTCTTGTCCGCTTTATCATAATGCTTAAGTATAATAAGTGGAGATACTATTTCTAAAATTCTGTATGTTCTCACCAATTATTTTCTTTTATGAGGAGAAAGATTTATGAATCCAAAAAAGAATATTCAACTTTTGGACGGAAATAGTGTTATAACATTATGACGAGAAAAATCTAAATTGGATGTCAATTATCTCACAGGTATCTAGGATGAAAGTCCTTAATGATAGAAATCATTAAAATTCATTTAATTCAATATACAGAAAGGCTGCTTTTAATTTCGTATGACCTTATTTTCAATGCCTATGTAATGATAAAGAGCTTCACATATTGTCTAATCTATGTGTAAATCCTTGAGCTAGTAATAAAGATTAACATTCAATTAAAAATTAGTTTGTTCTCCATTTCGAAGGCATATAATTGTGTAGTTTTATGCATTACTCTTAACTTTAATTTGAATGAAGATCTTAGTATCTGTCAAACTAAACAATAATAAAAGGCTTTCTCAAAAAAAAATGTATAATGGATCATTGCTTTGCTTTCAACTCAGTATTTCAGGCAAATTCCAAACCATTACTTATTTTACTGAATAAAAGTAATATAGGTAATATCTTGAAAAATTAGTGTGTTTGAAATATTAATTCTGGGACATTTAACTATGTTAGTGTGTAATGGTTTTATCAATTAGTGGAGTAATCAACTTACACTGCATCAATTTAGCCCCTGTTTGTTTCTCATTTTTGGAAGAATGAGAATGAAAAATATAATCGGATTCCACACAAGAGATAGAAATTCAAATTTGGTGACTTGATGTGATGGATAACGGTCATATTTTTCATTTTTAATGAGGAAAGAATAGGAGCGAAACGGGGGCTTAAAGTGTTTGTAAGGAGTTTTTTTCTGCTATAGATCATGTTAATTCAGTTTGACATTCATGCTGCTGTGTTGCTATTTTAATTTTATGTTTGGGTGTATGTGAAAATGTATCTGTGTTGGTATATTCTATGTCCTCATAGCTGCATTGTCATCATTGTGAAGGAACACTGCTTGATGGGAATAAAAGGAACTGTACGTCGCAGTACTGATGGTCACATAATCCATGCCAACATTGACACTGATGTAATAATTGCTGAGGAGCCTCCTTATGGTAAGTGTAACCTTGGATTTTACCGTTGTTAGTAAGTATTAGGTAGTCCCTTCCCTGCTATGAATTTTTATCTTTGAACTCGTTTGTAAATTTATATCCTCTTTATTTTCCAATCTTGAAATACTAGACTGAAATTTTTACTTGCCAAGTATTTACTACATTTCCAGTTTGTCATGCATCTCAGTATCTGTATCTATTCTTTGTTTTCCCTTTCCTTTTCTTCATCTGTAAAACTTACCTTCTTCTGTCAGCTTTCTTATTACTAGCGAATTAGTAGCTTTATCTGGGAACGTGGTTTGCTCTAAAGTTATTCCAATTGATTTTGGAATTTCATTACTACTCTCCCAAGATTTTTTACATGTTTTTTTTCTTTTTTATATGACGGAAATGGATTGAACAATGTTTAACACTTCTATATTAAATTTGCCAACAATGAGGATTCATGCTTAAGCATTGAAAACGTTTACACACCTCCATTGTGTTTAATAGATTCAAGCAAGCTTTAAACTAGACCTGCAAAGATTTGTAATTTTCCCGATTTAATCTTAAGTACTTTATTTTTACTGCTATTTTTTGTTCTGTCCTTTTTGCATCTGTTCTTCCACAGGACAACACATATTTAAATATAATCATGTCATCAATTGAGAGTAAACAATTTAAAGTGTTGCATACCTGTGTTTGCTTCTAAGCAATTCTATCAAGCTTCAAACTGGTCCTTTGCACCTTTATTTTTTTCAGTTTTGCCACTTTGTATCTTGAAGTATGGATTAAGGTTTTTATTTGTGATTACTTGAAACTAGATTTGATATGTGAGTGTGAAGAATTCGTTTTCTTAGGAAAAGAAAAAGTGAATACCTTTAGGTAAGTAGTTACGAGCAATTCATCAAACTGAATGTTTACCATGTAATCCTAACACTTGAAAAGTATTATTCTTACATTCTTGTTGACTAATCGGGGTATAATTTCACCGCACTGCAGAGATACGCCCTCTTTTGATTTGCATTTTCTGTTGGTTCTGACTGGTATTATAAACTTCACTGCCAAATATATTTGCAGGATCAACTGCAAAGCCTGAAGATATGTATCGGATAATTGAACATTTTGCTCTTGGACGGAGAAGGCTTGAGCTTTTCGGTGAAGATCATAACATTCGTTCTGGCTGGTTGACAGTTGGAAATGGATTATCTTCCTCGAACTTTAATTCCGAGGTAAACTTTCCTATCTGTTCAACATTGGTTAACTTTTCTACCTTTGGCTTCTTGAAATGGAAAAAGACGATGGAAAAGAATAGTTTTGTGCTGTCCTAGTAAGAAAGATATGTGCTATCCGTTCAGCACAATTTTTTGACGAACTTCTGTGAAATGAAATTTTATCAGCATTTAAAAGTGGGTTGATCTTCTAGGACATTTGGTGTCATGCCGAGATGAAGAAGATATTCAGAATCGATTGATAGTAGATGCTTAGCCCCTGTTTGGCCCCAATTTTTTGATACTCATTTTTTATTCAAATTCATTATCAACCGCACATTTTATGAGACCCAAAACTTTTATTAACTTTTCACTCACACATTTCATCAATTTTCATCAAAATCTACTAAAATTTTTATTTTAGTCAAACCAAATAGGGGTTTATACTAGGCTGAGACCGATGGCTGTTATAAAGCTAATGTCCATTCCCCGATCATATAATTTCTAGCTTTGCTCATGAAATTGTTTATGATAGATGAGATAGTGAAATAGGAAAGGCCTTTATTATTTTCTGTTGGAAGAGAGTAAAGGGGAGCAGGAGAATGACAAGGCTCCCCAAATGTTTCTTATGCAAATTACCTCTTTAGTTCAACCTTTGATTCCAAGAGAAATCAATTTTAAAAAACTATTTCATCTCGGAATTACCTGAAAAAAAGCAGGTTTTGTATTACTGTTTAAGCCACTTCTGTCGTGTTTGGAATGGAGGATTGGATGGTACTAGACAGTGTTAAACAATAAATTCTGTAGTCCAGTGACATGCACTTATTGTTGCAATTGTAAATGGCATGCATGACATTAGCAGGATCCATTTGAATCTCGTGTAATTACCGTGCCCCATAGGGCAGGCAGTTCAATGTTCAAGAGATTTGCGTGTTTTGCTGGCTTTCTTGAACTTTCACTGATGATTTTTTTTTCTTTCACTTTTTAAGTTTAGCTAAACATGCTGACATGTAACTTGGGAATTTTCAGGCATATATTAGGAGTTTCATGGATAAGGACGGAAAAATTTGGCAAGGAGGGGGAGGAAGAAATCCACCGCCGGAGGCACCACACCTTGTCCTTACTACTCCCGAAATAGAGGCTCTTCGTCCGAAGTCACCAATGAAGAACCAGCTGCAAATGCAACAACAGCAGTCGGCATCTATAACCCTGACAGCAGCAAATCCCAGCAACAAAAAGACTAGCGGAAATTCGCCACAGAATCATAACGCACCAAATCTAAATCAAGAGGCCTCGAGCTCTAATGTCTCGACTCCAGGTCCGTGGGCTTCACCAATACAAACCTTTAAAGGAAGAGAAGGTGGGTACATGGGTTCGGATGATAGGGTTTTCGATGTATACGGTTATAATGCACCACCATTTGGTCCGGCTAATGGAGACTTATCAGATTATGATACTCAGAGAGGAATGAATATGTTGTAGTTTATAATCAACACTTTTGTTCTGTTAACATTTCTTGAAATTTTGTTATTTTGATTAAAAAAATTATTAATCTTTTATCTGAAAATGCCTTTACATTCCATATTTTCTACTTGGATTCGGATGTAGTGCATGAAAGTGGATCTGCATGCAGCAAAACCAGCTTCAGGTTGGCAAATTCTCGTGTGCGTCTGTGGTGGTGTTTCGATAATTCATGTTTCCATGTTTGGTTTAGATAAAAATCAGAATTTTAGTAAAAGTTCACGGAATGTGTGATTGCAAACCCATACTTATGGGTTCTGTGATTAAAATAAATTGTTGACTTTGACTCAAATTTTAATTAGTCTTTTTTATCCCAACAAACCTTATCACCCAGAGCTGGTCAAAATCAAACGACAATTTTTTGAGAGTAAGGAATTATTATACATTTCTTGCTTTGTTCTTAAGCTACTTATTACTACTTGATATAATTGACGTGGCATTAACGCCTTATACTTTCACCGATTGGTGACAAGTAGTCAAGGAAAACCCAATAAGACAATTAGTTCATAGCAACGTGGAACAGTTTCATTGGACCTTCATGATAGATAGAGACACTTGTTACTAGGAATGTAATTTCAAAATGTATGTAGTGGGATTTCTTAATATGTTTTTAATACAACGCCAACAGCAATTGGGAACAGCCATAATGTCATTATCAATATTGTCACATGGTAAACCAAATGGGATATGGCGTGTAGGATTGGCTAGAATTGGACCAAAAAAAGTTGAAATCTTTGTATCTACAGCATTTTTGGCACGCTGGGTTTCTCTTGCATAACGTGATAATGTAGAATTCGGGACTACTAAAGGTGAATGGACGAAAATCTGAGTTTTCTTCGAATGATATTTAAGAAAAGAATTTTCTAGCAAAGTTCATAGAATTAGAGGAAAACATGTTCATAATCAACGAATACTTAGAAATACATTTTAAAAAAGCTTCGTATAGGAATTCACAAAGAAAAAATCCAATATATCCATATAAAGAATGAAGTATGATGTCCATACAATTTTTCACTTCTCCATATGTATAATCTGTTTTTGGGGTAGTGAATAAATTATCATTATATGGACTACTGACAAACGTACACAAAAAGGGTTTCATTCATTTGATTATCGCCCAAGAAAGCTTCTATAATCTTGTTGACATTAGAAACAATCTTTTGTGTAGATTTAGGCCATAACGAGTTCCTACTACAGAGGAGAGCTAGGCGCCTTGCTCCTGGCTCGTCTCCGACATAACGAGGAGGGTGACATTCGAGAAAAAATGGCCATACGAAGAAAGGAGTTTGGAGGCTCAGACACGATGATTATTCTAGTAGGCGACAAGTCTGATTTGAGTAATTCAAGAAAAGTCAATGTAGAAGATGGGCAAAGTTCAGCACTACTAGAAGAAATAGTCTTTATTGAAATATCTGCTAAAGAGAATTTGAACGTGGAAGAGGCATTTCATCAAATGGTAGGCAGAATTCATGAAATAAACAGTAAAAAAAGACTTGAGAGATAAATGATAAAAGGGCTGATTCAATACTGCAGGGGACTAAAGAAATTATATGCATTGATGTGATCTTTGCTTCTACACAAACTAGTCATTGTTGTTCATATTGAATAATTGTTTTTATTATTACATTGTAAGATTTCGAACACACTCTAATTTTTCCAAATAAATAAATATGCTTACATATGGGCTCACGAAGGTCTCATTGGAGATGACAGGCACATCCTGTTACATTTTTTTAGATTCGTGAATTTTTGGTGAATTCATTGTGATATACGTAAAAATCTAATTGACATTTTGAAAAGTTTAAAAGGAAAATTGAAGTAACGATTTTAAACATTTTCAATTTTTGCAAACTTTACCTTAACATTCGTTTTGTGCCAACAAAAGTCCTTAACCTTTGGAAAATATGCAGTAGAGGTCCAACTGGATTAAAACCTTCACTTTGACCATTAGTTGACCAAAGAATTAATATTGACCAAATTTGGTTAGGATAAAATGGTAACTTAGTTAATTTCATATTATAAAAAATAAAAAAAAAATTAGGAATAAAAAATAAAAAACCAAAAAGACCCCATCCCCAATCAAAACCGCCTATCTTCTTCTCTGGCAAACCTTACCCAAAACAGTCACCGCACCACCTTCGACCCACACTGTCGACATCACCCCCACCCACTAACAATTCTGTCTCCGTCTATTGCCACCATATTTGTCACTGTACATTTGAAAATAAAACCAAGAAAACTCATATAGTTGTGCGGTCCTACTTTAAAATTCGGTAACTCCAATGGCACATACAGTCGGGCATTGTTGCCAATCGATTCATCTCATTCAGGTGCTCCAATTCATGGTGAGACATCGTCCAAAAACAGCTCCATTTGACAGAGGTTTGGCTTGACAACAAAACGAGGCAATTCCATCAATTCACATGGTTTGGGTATTGTTTCCACAAAATTGGTCTTTTTACACCAAATTCAACCCATAATCCCTCAACAACACCAAATAATGATGAGTATACCCTCAATTGATTCAATTGTGTCACAAATTGCTCTAATTTTGACTTCATATTTTGCACATCGACATTTTCAATTTTCATAGTCTACCCTACGTCCTTTGAGTGGTGGAGATTGTCTTCGGAAAGCGGTGCCGATAACGATTGGCAATGTGGGTTCCAATGATGACCGGTGTGGGTTGAAGTTAAGGAAGAAGAAAGTGTCAACCTTCAACCTTTTTGTTTTCATGGGAATGCTGTGAGTAGGGGTGGGCGTGGATTGGGTTGGGTTGGGTCAATTTTTATCCCAATCCAACGTGATCGGTTTGATTGATGTTCAACCCAACCCAACCCAACCCAACCAAATGTCAGTCAGTTTGGATTGGGTTGGTCGGGTTGGGACAACCTGTAAACAAATATTAAAGTCACCAAAACACTAAATTTAAAACAACATTAATATAGTCTTCCAACATCAATAAATTTAAAACATAAAATAGTATAGTCCACCAAATATCCATCAAATAACTATCCAATAACAATTATATATATGTGGCTGAAACAAAGTGACTAGTTATTAGTTTAACTAAATTGGATGAATTACATTTACATTAATCCCCCTCCCACTCGACCCACTCCACTAGTTATTAGTTTAACTTCTTCCCCAGTACAACCTCCAGGAATTAACTATTGGCAACCTCAAGAGAAATCAAAAGGCCCCTAAAATTCACGAGCTTAAATCCATATTTGTAAACCAGAAATTTTCTAATCAGACTCGGCATGACACCTAATATCCAGAAACAGCATCTCTTCACATCCAGGGTTTCAATTCAAAGCAACCCACTCAATAAAAGAAGGGCATCCATAACGAATACAGGGAAGAGCCTTTTCCTATTTTGTACAAGGGACTTGCGAATGCATAGATATATTTCCCTTTAAGTCGATCAAAACACACCCAAAATTGAGAATGGCCAAGCAATTCTTAATTCCTGAAGTTTATTGCAGATTTGCATTTTCTGCATTTATAACAAAAAAAATAAGAAAAAAAGAAAATACGAATAGAAAATAACGAAGTATACATAGTCTACAAAAAGAAAATACGAATAGAAAATAACGAAGTATACATACTCTACCAGACTACCACTGACGCTGGAGTGTGGACGTTCGACTTCGACGTTGGGTTTAGAGAGACGAAGTTCGTCAAATCGTCGTGGGGTTTTGAGAGAAAATGNAAAAAAAAAAATTAACAATACACTCAAAAATATCCCGCGATTCAACACAGTCAAGCACCCATTTTAGCGATTGGATCCAACAGTAGGAATTTCAATTCCGAAAATCCGACGGTTCTATGGCTCATTGGATCTCTTCCAAGCTCAAAGCCGCTGAAACTCTCCTCCATCAGGTAAATCTCCAATATTTTTCTCTTTTTTATTTTCTTGAATTCAGATGATTTGTAGTTTAATTTTGGTAGTTCCTGCATTGTAATCAATTATACACAAACTTGGATTATTTATTTGAATTTTTTATTGGACGGTAAAGATCGATCAGCAAGCTGCAGAATCATTAGGTAAGAATGAAAAGCCGCGATCCGATGAACAAGTACGTCTTGAAACCTCGACAAGAACGGGGGAAACTAGGTCGTTGATTAAGGAACAGCTCAAAAAGAAGGTGCCAGAAAATGTCAATGAAAAACATGATTTAAAGGTAATTAGTCGCAGTGATAGTAGTATTAAACGGGATAATGATGTCGGGCTATCAATGAATATCAACTCTAAGTCAAATTCGAGTGGCCCACCAACGGATGGTGATTGGACGGAATTATTGAGAGTGCCGAACAAGAATATGGCAGGTGGAGGTGTGACTGGGAGTCAGAGTAGCATTGGAGCGTTAGGGATTAGAGGTTTGAAGAAAGATGGTAAGAAACAGGGGAGATCAGGGTCGAAGGCACTAGAGGGGATAAGGACAGATAAGGACCAGAATAATGGTGTTCCGAAGAGTTCAAGAAAATCTAATGTTGAGTTGGAGAATAACGCAAATGGAGGTGGTAGTTTGGATAGTGGGAGGGCAAGTGACGTTGGAGATGTGATGCCAAGAACTTTGATTACTGAGTTTCAGAGTGATGGAGGTGAATCAGTTCGAAAGGACATGAGTGATGCACTTATACCTGATAACAAGAATGAGGCATATATAGGAAAAAATAAAGAGTTGAATGGCATTGGAGATGGGGAGAAGCTACATCCTACAGATGGTTTGATAAATGACAATCATCCCACGGAGATGGTCCCAGTTTCACTTGATGGGAAATCGGATATGAAGTCTCAATTGAAGGATGGCGAGAGGTTTAAGAGTGCAATGTTAAAGAACAATAAGTCGAAAGTAGGTTCCAGAAGTTCAAGTTCTATGAAGAAGGGTTTTTCTTCCCGAAGCGACGATGAGTCTGATTCTGAGACAGATTCAACTTCATCTTCAGATTCAGAGAGAGAACGAGAGAGGGCAGAAAGGATAAAGAGAAGGCAGCAGATTCTGGCAGAAAGGGCAGCTGCCAAAGCAGTTGACGCTATCAAAGATCGTGAGAATCAGGTTGCTAAATTGGAAGGGGAGAAACAGAGTTTAGAGAAAGTACTTGAAGAGCGTGCCAAACAGCAAGTACGAGAGGTCAGTACTTTCAGGGCTATGCCACGTGATTTTGATGTCCTATTATTGAAATAATTATTACAGTGATTGATAAAGTTACTTCAAAACCATGTCATTCTATTTGCTGGCGTTAGCTCATTGAAAGTATTCTTTGCTCCAGCTATTTCTGGAGACTTGACAATGGGTTTTCAGTTATGTGACCCTCAAGGCATGTAAATGTATTTAATTATATAAGAGATAGCTGGTCTTTTTTGATATTTTAAAGTCTATGTTTATGCATTGTTGTAAAATGAGTTCTTGCATTTTTTTGTGACAATATTGTTATCTAGATAAAGCCAAACAATGAATAGGCATTTGTTACCGAGAGAAGTGCATATTTTGAGATAAAATACAAATTCTGCAATAGTAAGTGAATGAAGATGGTTACTCTTAATATTATGTGATACAAATGTACGGAAAAGTCTCTCTAGAGCCTGAAGAAGTTTGAAACTTAATTGTCCTCCATGAGTAATTTCTCCACTCTTTTCACCTGTTCCATTCTTAACACCATTGTTATGGACTGTGCTACAATAGTTCGTCCTACTAAATTGTTTATGATTTAATGATGTAGTTATTCCTTATAATACTAATCATAGGAAATTTTCTCCAATTTAAACATGCTTACCGGTTGTTATATTCTCTGATCAACTAGGAGCTACTTGTTTGCGAATCTTTTACCCATTTTTTCATAAGCTATAAACTCTTTCAATCGTGGTCCATCTTTTTCCTGTTGATTCTTCTGTTTGTTGAATTGATTTATTTCCTGACTATTTTTATGATACCTTAGTTGATACGCCTTCGTAAGACCAATTCTACAGTCAGTACTTATTTGGTAATTTTTCCAGGCTTCAGAACTGCAGACAACAATGATGGAGGTTATGGATGCTGCTGATTTAGAGAAGCAGAAACATAATAATACTCGAATGGAAGCACTTGTGAGATTGTCAAAACTTGAGGTAGTTCTGTGACGACTTGTGTTTTCTTTAATTTAGATTTAAGCTTTAGCTCTATAGTTGACATCTTATCAGGTTTTAATTTTTGTCCTTTAATTATTCTTCTTGCTATTTTTAGTCTTATCATTATTATGGTTAACAGTATGTTTTCTCATTGCTTTCTGTATTTTGCAGACCACGAATGCCGACCTTGCTAGGTCTCTTGCTGCTTCACAGAAAAATCTTGAAGTTGAGGTACTTGAAAACCTCTTCAGTTGGTTTTTGTGTCGCTTTTTCCTTTGTTCTCTCTTTCTCTCTCCCCACCCTTTTTTGGTTTCTTGTCTTTCTTTTTACTTTTCCAGTGACTGTTAAATGATCCATGAATAACTTAAGAAAACTCTAGACTAAAGGAGGACCTGGATCTCTTTAATTTTATGTATATTTTATTTTTTATTATTATTATTTTTTTTTATCATGCTTGTTTTCAGTTTTTGCTCAGTAGTTATCATTAAGCAAGTAATTTATCAACACATTAGGAGGTTAGTGTTGGTTATTCAATTAGGTTTCAAAATCGACCTTGTGAAATGGTTGAACTGAAATTGCACAATTGCCTCTATATGCTCGTGTGATAGCAAATTGATTTACTCGTGATTTTGTGCACGGGTGGACCAGGTTGATCGTATTGCTGAACTTCGTCAAAAGATTCAGTTGAAAGAAGGAACTCATGAAGGTGTGCTTTCTTATCTTAATTGGGAAGTAACTGTAGTTTCTATGCCTCTCTTTTTAGTTCTTGCAGTATGTGTGCCTATGTATCATTCCCAGAATGACTTGTCTAAATGTGGCCCTGGTAACCTAGAGGCTTGTCACTCCAAAGAACTTGCAGTATTGCGCATCAAAGCTTGTTTCTTGGGCAGAGATTTAATTCTCTTTTTCCAATTTTCATGCGCTTCATATTTACTGCACAGAGCTGTTGTGCTTCTATATTTCTTTCTAAGGATTCTGCATTTTCATGCTTTTTGTTTTTAATCCCCGAGTTTGATATTGAACTTCACGTCAATAAATAATGGATATTTAATTTAATTATTGAATACTCGATATGTATATGCAGAATACTCCGGTTAATCATCTTATAAATAAGTACACAATGGCACCATTTTTAGAATCAATTTGTGTTGCTATTCAAGAACATTGTCATTAATGGGGAAACCCTGAAGGATTGTTGAGCCTTTTCATCTATGTTTTGACATATTTAACTTTGTGGAGCAAATAGACAATTTTTATTGACAACCAGTTCTTGGTTACTAAGATATATTGTTTCCTCTTGTAGAATTGAGAAGGAAAATATCAGCTATGCACCAAAACAGGGATAATGTGAGCATCTTTTGCTCCTTCGTTTAGTCAAAATATTCCTTATATCTTCTCAACTAATTTTCCATGAAAATGGCTTGTAGCTGGTAGCTTCAAAAGGTGTCGAATTTGAAAAGAAGATGCTTGAGGCAGAATATTCCTCTGTAACTGATAAAGTCGAACGCCTGCAAGAAAAGGTGACATACTTCCTTTTCTATGGAACAGTATTGGTATATTTGATGCTGTCCTGAAATTTTATGATACAATGTTTGAAGAACTGTCATATATCTTGTTCAGTGTATTGCAAAATAAAAATTAGAACGCGCTTCTTAGTCTGGCTTATATTTTGAACATTAGGATTTTC